GTCGCAGACGGAGCAGTGAAGGGAAACTAGAATTGAGCGGCGCTGCGTAGGAAGGCAAGGGCCAGGCTACAGAAATAGAGATCTTGGAGAACACTACACTCAAAAAAACAGATTGTTGGATTTACTTAACTAAGTTATGTCAACAATTTCCACTTAACTAAGCTGAGTAAGTCCAACGTAACTTTGACAATTTATTTCAATGTAATTGTGCACGTTGCTTTATATTTACTCAACTTAGTTAGTTTAGTGGAAATTGTTGACATAACTACATTAAGTAAATCCAACAATCTGTTTTTTGAGTGTACACATGGGGTTTTCAGTTTAGTGACTATATGAGAATGATGTAGTGATTCTGGTACTTTTAAGGCCTCACTGGTTTTCAAGTCATCTAACAGGATATTTCTGCAGGTCTCATTCCACAAACATTAAATAAACTATTTGCATTAGTAACTCTTTTTTTTTATGAAGTTTGTACATGTTACAAACACTTTATTTAGGCTAAGCAACATTTGCAAGCATGCGTTTTACTTTAACTCTGACAAATGCAGATTTGAACAGACTTGTGGACAATTTAAACTTAAAACAACACATCTTTGCACTTGAAAGAGGATATTTTTTTCTGTAGAAGTTTTAAAGATGTTAATAGGTGCACAACTGAGATAGATTTTCTTTAGAAACTCTGAAAGCAAACTAAAAGAAGAAAATGATTCATTTCATTTTACACACATCCTTAAATATCCTTTCTTTTTACTGTTATAAAAAAATCTGCAGGGAATTCAGAGCCTGTTTATTCCCACAGTCCTCTGTCTCAGAAGCATCTTAATAAACACAACAGGATCGTTTTTTTATAGTCTGGATAATCTGGATCCGTGCGCGCGCAGAGGAGAACACGAGCCCCATCTGCTTCCTCTCAAACCAATTTAGGCTGTCCCCGCGCGTGCTTTTGTCTCGCGGACGGACGCCGCGGGAACACTCGATGGGACAGAGACATGGGTGGGAGAGGAGGGGGGAGGGTGACGTCACGATACGGATTGTAGGAAATATTATGGCTAAAATAAAATGGGATTACGCATGTTTTTATTGCAGAAATTTATTGTGTATTACACATTAAATGACAACACACACACTGAACTATAAAATGTGTGAATTTAATTGACTTTTGGTTTTGATTAAAACAACAACAACAAGATGATTTCTTAATAAAACTGATTTCTTCACAATTTTGGGGGCGCGTGGAACAACTTTCTGTCCCTCAGAAGGATGTGGCGCGTTATCCAAAGCAGAGCGTGACTAAACCACGAGAAACTGTGACAAAAAAAAAAAAAAGGTTTATTGGAACACAATGCGGCCATTAGCCCCGATGGAATACATTTCACTTTCTCCATAACGCATCAGCCGCTCGCCCTTTTGAGAAATTAATCATGCATTTAAAAAAAAGGATTGCTCGTGTGACCTCAGAGGGTCAAACCATTGGGGGGAGGGGGTGCGCAAAAGAGCCCCCCCCCCCCCAAAACATAATAAATTAAGAGGTACAAGAGTGAGCCTGAGACATTTAACATGAAATCTGTCAATAAATGACGCATGCCCCGGGCGCGTGATTATCATATTAAAATGCATCACCCTCCTTTTGTCAAAAGCCTCAATTACAACACAGCGTTGGCTTTTTTTTATTCTCTAATACAAAATTATTCCACTCAATTTCGGTCTTTAACTTGTTCATGGCTGGGGGAAAAAACTCCACTGCATTTGTGTTGATTTCTTATCAAATAAATCAGAATATAGAGGTCAAACAGATTCCATCTGATGTGGATTTGAAGGCAGATGTAGGGCGCGCGCATCACCCAGTTTTAATCCTTATTTAAGGCTGCGCGTCTTTTCTTCTCTTCCTCTTCTCAGATTTCCTGCGCGTCATCATTACAGAATAATAATAATAATAATAATAATAATAATAATAATAATAATAATAATAATAATAATAATAATAATAATAATATTACAATGACTAATACATAGTTTTGATGATAAAAAAGTGTTGTGAATTTAGGTGTGTGTGTGCGTGCCCCGCCTCCTCCTTGTGGCACAGGTGCGGGTCATTACTTTTTCCTGCTTCACGAAGCATCACTACATTAACACGATAAAAGAATGCAGAAACATTATTGGTCTATTTACAGTATTAGTCTTGCCATGTCACAGCCTATTAAGCTGCATTATTAGGCAGTGTATGGCAGCAATKGGCCGTCGTGTAAAATCAGAGCTTCTATATATGATGTTTTTTTTTCTTTTTTTTCCAGATTTATTTATTTTATTCAATATATATTTTTTCTCACACTATATCTATTGCATAGTAAATACAAAATACTTAGGCTCTTATTTTTAGTCTTTTTTTTCAGTCAGACCTCTGCTGCACTTCTGAATTTGCCTCAGGCATTTCTACCAATTAGAGGATGACACCAACCCACTATGATTCTATAAGTTATTAAAGATCTGGAACATATTGTCCATATAATTTTCAGAAAATGTAAAAAAAAAAGTATAAATAAATAAATAAATAAAAACTCCAGATGATGACAATCCGTTTTATTTTTAAAATCTTAAATCAGTGTATACGAGAATGAAAATGCACCATCTTTTTTCATAGTTGAGTTTAGATGTTGTTTGTTTTGAATATTTTGTCTTGGTTTTTTTTTTTACCAACACCAAGCAAGATTAGGATATTAATTACAAATCTGACTTGTGCACAATGAGAAAACTCAATAAACTGTTAAATAGCATTAAATTACAAACCATTATGTTTCAGTATATTTCTGATGTCCAACAGAGTCCATCCTGCTTTTAATCTAGTTCTYTGCAATGCCAGTTGAATTACTCATTATGGACAGAGAACAAGTCATTGTTTATTTAATTAAAACACAAAGTAGGAGTTTCACTCCTAATTCACATTTTCCTTCAAGACAGAAACATATTGAACATGCTTAATAAATCATAGCACAATGCACTTGAATGTCTAAAACCAAATAGGCAGACAAAACTTTTATTTTATTTTACAATAAATAGTTCAAAATTTAGGTGCAAACAATTTCATTTTGATTTATGAGTTATATCATTTTTATGGCTTTGTTATTTTCATCCTCAGTGTAATGTGTAAGTGTGGATTAACTACACTGCAGCCTTTCTTGATGGTAGAATAATACAAATCAGGGTGATTTATAATTATATGAATGTGAATAAATTTCACAAAAAGGTAACTTTTTGTTAAAATAATGATATTATAGGAATGGTGCACACACAAAGCTCTGATTTTATTTACCAAGCGATCCGGGTCTATAATTAAGGGCTTGCTTGACTTTTAATGATCCCTGCACACAAGCAAACTTGTGGAAGTTGTTTTAAGTGGAATGAGTAATGAGACGTTAACGGTGAACACTGAGCTGGAGCCAATTAGCTCGTCGGTGCAGACAGACAACTGGGCGCTGCTGTGTGCTTTTAAAGCAAGCAGAGAGTCTGCAAGGTCAGACGGAGCAGGGCGCGATGTATGTGTGTGTGTGTGTGTGTGTGTGTGTGTGTGTGCGTTTGTGTTTGTACATGTGAAATGTTGCAAAACATTTCTTTTTCTCGGACTGATTTGTAGTTACTGGACATGCTGGTAACACCATTGAAAAGAGGAACATCAACCCTCAAAAACTTCAAATAACCTGACTGAAAAGCCCAGAAAATTAACTCTAATGATGATTTAGTTGCTCTTTTTGTGGTCAAAATGAAAGCACTCTTCTCAGAGGAGATGGGTTACCAATGCAACCAAAATCTATTATAAACCTAAAGAAAATATCTGCTACAATACATTCCAATTTAAGGTTAATGAGCTTCACATGTAAAACCTCAAGTCCAGTTCATTAAAGCTTTTATCTTTTAAATTTAGCTCAGACTGATGTTCAAAAATAAAAAAAAGGTTTGCGGTGAAGGCTGCTTTTAAAGCAGCAGGGAGTGAATGCAACCAATGGCACAGTGTCTAWTTTTTATAGAAAACCCAATTTACTCAGCTTTGAAAATGTCCAAACACAGAAGTGTGAAACAAGTAATGTAAGTAAYGCAAAGTCAAATTGGAATACGTTTAGAGGGAAACTTTTACCATGCAGTCACTTGTATGGTGAATAAAGTACAACGTAAACTATACAGACAAAACGTCACATCACGTTCTATTATGCTACAGGTATAATTTGTTTTGATCAGAYTTATGAAGAAAATGAAATACAGCAAAAAAAAGAGAGCCAGAAAGCAAAAACAGAGAAATGGGAGGTGAGCCTCAGACTATAAGAAGTCTCATCCAAGAGAGTCATTCAGCTCTCTGCAGGGCGTCAAATCGACACATCTCTGCGGGGAGAAGATAACTAACAGAGATGATCTCACAGTATCATGGCTTAATTTTCTTTACTGGGGAATATTCAGTGCTAATGTAACTTAAATAGGCCATTGTGGGGCAGACTGCACGGCTTTTCATGGGACATAAAATCATGGAAACTCACCAAAAAGGAAGATTGGCACTTAGGCTTGCACAACGCGTTCAAATGGATTCTGAATGAATTACCACAAATGTCACCCCATCAGGCCTGCGCCAAGCCATTTTTGGCCTGTGTGAGTGCACGGCTTTGTGTATAAGTGAGCTGTGGGGGTAGTAAAGAATAAAAACTGAGGAAAGTAAATATGTGAGTTTAACAAAAATACTATTTCTGTTAACTAATTTCTGTAAATCTTTAAAAACCATAAAGACACTATAACTTTTGTGTTTTGTTTCTTACAACTCGTAGAGTTGTGTGCAGCTCAAAAACCAAGAATTTCTGAAAAAAAACTTGTTGAGCTAAGTTAATAATCAGAACTAGTTAAATAATTATTAGGTGTTTTTACAAGCAGTCACAACATGTCACTAATTTCTCAA